TGCGTATGTGCGGACGCGCTGCGGACCTCTAAACAATGAATGAATGAGAATGAAATGATGAAAAGTGTGGCCTACGAGCAGAGCAACCGAAGCCAGGCAGGATAGAAGAGTGTGTTGGTGTGTTCTGGCGATTAAATAAAGTCTGATTCTTGAACGTTTGAAGTGTTATTACAACAGCACCACACTGTAACAGTGTCAGGACAGAAAGGAGACTGTTAGCAATAGGGAGCTTTCAAAATGACTGCCCACTCTCTCTCCGCTCTGATCGATCAGAGCAGTTCATCAGAGCGGGAGTTAGAGCGAGAGCCAGACGGGCAGAGTTTGTGGCACTAAAGTGTAGATTTAAAGAAAACCGAAGGATTTAAGAAGAAAAAAGTTCAGGATGGCAAGGGACACTAAAATCCCCACAAAATCCGATCTTTATTAAAGCTGTAGGTTCTCTGTCAGCTGAGGTTGCGCTGTTTTAATATGCATTGAGTTCTATGGGGAAAATTTCTGGGTACCCCATGTGAATTTAGTCCGGTCTAGTCTGCAGTACCGCGAGAATACCCTGGAGCACATGAGTTATTCAGCTACAAACTAGTTATACCCTATCCAGTTATTATAATAGATCCATGATCGAGACGTGGAGCCATGTTTGGTGGAGTGAAGCTCTTACCATTTTGGCTAGAGACAAGAGAGGGACCAGAGAGAGGCCAGCAAGAGACCAAAGAGAGGCCAGAAAGAGATCAGGGAGAGACCATGGAGTGATCAAAGAGAAAAAGAGATCAGAGAGGGACCAGAGAGATCAGAGAGAGACCACAGAGACAAGAGAGGGACCCAAAAGAGACCACCAAAAGATCAGAAAGAGATCCGAGAGGGACCACAGAGGAACCAGAAAGACACCAGGGAGAGACCATAGGAAGACAAGAGACAGAGAGAACAAATAGAGACCAGAGACCAGACAGAGAGACCAAAGAGAGACCACAGAGACAGAGCCAAGAGAGACCAACGTGAGACCACACAAAGACCAGAGGGAGACCAAATGAGAGACCAGAAACTCTCTAATTAGAACCTCAGCTGACACAGATGTTGAATTCTCGTGTCCTGGTTTGGCGCTTTCACACCAAACGTCCAGAAAAAGACCAGAGAGGCAAAAGAGAGACCAGGAAGAGGCATTGAGGTGGTGAGGGACCAGAGCCAGAATTCATAGAAGTAAATACATAAAGACATAACCCGGATCGTAACCCCGGTTTCCTACATTGTAATCCACACGATTAGACCAGGGTCTCAATAAGTAGATCGCGATCAAACAGTAGATCGCAAAAGGTATTATTGGTAGATCGCATTAAATAAATAAATAATAACACATCTAAATTTTTGAAAACTCGTTAATGCATTTTGTGTGTAGACAGATATAATCGAGTTTTGCGTTCTCGCACCCACAGTACCCCCCTAAATTCCCTGATCACTGAAGCATGGAATCATACTACCTTAAAAACTGTTCACTGGGAGATGCTCGAGCAGCGACATCCCCACATCCAAGAGCAGCAAAGTGATAGCGCAGACTACACCCTTGAAAAAACCACTAAAACAGGACTAAACCTGACTAACACCAGACAACAACCAGGGACTAAACCAGGACTAAACCAGCTAACGGGTCATCTTGTAAACATACGTCTTTACTCTTATGTCTTCAATGTCTGTAAAAGTGCGTACCCGGCGTCTGCATCAAACTCCGCCACTGTCTGTGTTTTTCCCCAAGCAGACAGAACGTAAGACAACGCACATGTTGGAATTGATTGATTAACGCAGATGTGTGGATGCAAATTATTTAATAAACGGAAGGGAAATATTTTGATTTAAATAAACCATGCATGACATGACATGGCAACCACAGTCAATGACATCTGTGGTTTACTCATATGTTTTAACAGACACATAGGTGACTGCACATGCCAAACAACCGCGCTCAGTGCAGGAAACTAAACCCATGACAAACTGCACGAGTAACCACCATTATCCGACTATCATCCCTGGCCGATTTCAAATCAGTGCAAGTCATAAATAAACCGTAATGACAAAAACTGTACATAATAACTTGTTTTGTGTTGTCTAAAATTGCTCATGCGTTTGGCAATTACATAAACATATATTGTAGTATAAAGAATAGTTTTTGAAATAAATATATATATTTGCATTTTAGTAGTAGTAATCATTTTTGACTGAGCCTAGTATAAGTACTCGCATGCTGAAAAAGTGAGCACCCACCTGTTTAGACCACAAGAGCCCACCGATTCACACGAAATGAGACACTGTAAGAACGATTCACGTATAATATTCTGCATCACACTGAACTTTTATCTGCTGTCTCAAATTGTTCAAATGCATCCCGATATAGTTCCTCGTTTTAGTCCTTTGTTTTGTCATTAATGATTTGAGAGTCATAACCCAGACCTTTTTTAGTTCTGCGCCACATGTGTGCGTCCGCAACGTAAAGCTAAACAGGTTGCCCAGTCTTAATACCTGAGTCGCAATGGTGAAGGTTTTGGTTCCAACTTGTGGCATTCACTACTACCGAGTTCTACCCATTTACAATACACGGGTCCAATTTCTCTCCCCACCCCAATTTTGTGTGTAATCACACACAATATTTGCAAATGTTTTGCCTTCTATACAAACTCAGCTGTAGACAAAATGAAACAGTAAAGATTTTTTCCTAATAGTTAAAACAAAATCAATTGGATCGAGCTTCTGATTTTGTTTGCTTCATCTCTATACTGAGCTTAAACCGAATCCAAATCTACATAATAGCCCCACCTGAGCTCTATCAGTTCAGAACTGCTCTCATACTTGAATAAATCATGCCGATCTTCAATTTCCTATACTAAATAAAAACAAGGAGAAAATATTGAATTAAATCTACAGTGAGTAGCTCCACTACATTTGTTTGCCATTACGATCAATCTCTAAAAACAATTCATAGATCCCATGCAGACTACAAAATTCCAACCACACCTGCTGCACTGAAGGGCCTGTTCTTCACCTCAACATTCCCTATAATTGTTCCATCTTGGTGTTGATTTCAATGTATGATAACTGTAATTAATCATCACAATTTCATAATTTGCTATTACTTGTGCTTCTCTTACTTACTTTCCAATCTGTGTAACGCTCCTGATATCTTTTTATCTTTTTTTTGTGGCGGTGGCATTTGTTCTAAATTATATAAAAATGTATAGACAATCCAAAACAACATTCATCTACATGAATTGCAAATCATTTTATATAACTTTGCCAATTCTAAATTACATAGTATTCTCAAGACAATGAGTTAACAAGAGTTTGGCATAGTAACCATGTGGATTTTTCTATTCTTTCTTTTTTTTTTTATTCCACTCCTCACCCAAAAAGCAAGTATGACTCACGAGGCTCTCAATATGCAAAAATAAAAACTAAATGACCTTTGTGTTTTGCGACATCCACATGCATCGTTAACAGCAATGAAAATTTAGGTATCCCGACTTTAAATGTCGGAGCGCTGGTTGCGCTTTGGGAAGAGTCAGGAAGACATGTCGAGACACAGGAGAAACGGGTGAGATACGAGGGATACCCGCACTTGCAACATGTTCTGTCTCTAATTCGACTCGGTACCATGTTAGACTGTCTATCACTGAGCGCCGCGGCTGTCATTACAAAGCGCAGCAGCTGCAACCAAGAACGTCACCAATTCGAGTGCATCGCTTGAATGTTCTTAGATCATATAACACAAGTGCCCCTGCACACATTTCACAGAAATACATTATCAACAATAATTGTAATCGTGATATCCGTTAATATTTTCATTCCATAGTTTATCCTGATCCACAAACACCCCCCCCATATACATTTTGGATGTAAGAGCACAATAAGTATTGTTTCAGCTTTCAAACCAACCTACTGTTTCTTTATGAGCCAGTTCAGTTCTGTCTCTGTGCCGAGTGAGCTCCTCGGAACATTAAACCAGTGCGCTAACAGATTAGAAATAAAACGTAATAATTTGAATGGTAATAGATCTACAGTACTTTCCTCTGATTACTCACGTGCTACAAAACGCTCAAGGACGAAAAAAAACACTTGCATCACGCTGGCTAACTTTAAAAAATTAAACATCCTCAGTGCTTCAGTTTGGCGCTAGAACATTTTGGTAAAAACTCAACTTGTCGTGTTTGGTGGAGAAAGAATGCTGAGTTGCATCCAAAGAACACCATACTGTACCTACTGGGTAGGTATGGTGTTGGGGGGTGGAAACATTTTGCTTTGGGGCTGTTTTTTCTGCAAAGGGACCAGGACGACTGATCTGTCTAAAGGAAAGAATGAATGGGGCCTCTTTCCATCAGCATCATTGAGGATGAAACGTGGCTGGGTCTGTCAGCATAACAATAATCCCAAACCCACTGCCCAGGAAACGAAGGAGCGGCTTTGTAAGAAGCATTTCTAGGTCCTGGAGTGGCCGAGCCAGTCTCCAGATCTCAATCCTATAGAAAATCTCTGGAGAAAGTTGATCTGATTTTCTGGATTTTTTTTCTCATTCTGTTTCTCATAGTCGAGGTATACCTTCCTCATCTTTTATAGGTGGCTGACTAAATACTTTTTTTGCCCCACTGTACATACACAAGCACGGTGTCTACTTTAAATATGGACACATTTAAATTGAGACTGAAATAAAGATTTGTAATTGATATTAATACTTATAAACATAATTCATTTCAACTTGTACTATTGTGTGTGTTGTGTGCTCCAACATATATACCCACACTCAAACATACTCTCGCAAACACACACATACTCTGTCTTACACACACACACACACACACACACTCCCTCCTTCGCCCTAACAGCTGAACCCCTTCACTCTGATTAACCAGGACACACACAGTAACCACACAAACTGAGACTTAAAGCTGGACCTAGAGCTGTGTAAACATGTGTAGAGATGGCATCAAGACAAATGGACCGAGAGGACGACGGTGACGGGTGCCATGACGCCAGCCCACATGGTCCCGCCAACAAACGCAGCACTGTACCATCGACAAACCATGGAGAAGCCGCCACAGAGCCCCGCGCCAAGGCCCAGTGCAGTGTGTGCTTCCTCTAATATTAGCTCTAATTAAAGATTCTCAGCTGTGATTTTTAATGTGGAAAAAGGTTCATTACTCTCTCCACACTCCGCACCACGACTCACATGGACCTGTGCGGGCTGTCAGCTTTATTAGGAATATGGTCCATGAAATGTGGCATATTGCAAATGACAGAGAGAGAGAAAATATACACAAAACATATTTAACATATTTTTCTGTGTGCTTGCTAAACCTGCAAATACTTCCAAACATGTATAGCCTTTGAATGACTATATTTATTGCAATTAACTTCTTGTGTGCGACCATTTTTGTCCATAATTTGGTATATGTACATTCATGTTTTATTGACCTGGGCCAATATGGGCGGCACGGTGGCTGAGTGGATAGCACTCTCGCCTCTCAGCAAGAAGGTCCTGGGTTCGAATCCCGGTTGAACCAGGGCCTTTCTGAGTGGAGTTTGCATGTTCTCCCCGTGTCTGCGTAGGTTTCCTCCGGGTGCTCCGGTTTCCCCTACCACTAAAAATATGTACAATAGGTCTGGCATGTGCCTCCTGTACTGGCACCCCCACTCCCAAAAATAACAATTGTAAACTGCTTTGAGACTCCGATGTGCAGTGAAAAGGCGGTATATAAATAAAGATTACTTACTACTACTACTACCTGCACTGTCCCATTCAAATACATGCTCTAATAAATAAATACATTATACATACATTAGAATTTGCCAAAGCTGTTACACGTCTCATTGAATTTATTTTAAAACATTTCTGTATAGTCCTGATTCATAACCGCAGCAGTCGTCTCGGAGGACTTTACAAACTGTGGTACGGACAACAATGGAGCAATTAATGGGAACATTTCAAACACAAATATATAAATTTATAAACAACAATGACATAGAAGCCATTGGGTCAGAGGGTGCGAAATGACCGTTTAAAAAAAAAAAACATACAATTATAATAGTTTTCTCCCAAAAACATGGACCACCTCTGCACATTGATTCCATACATATTTTACAGTTTAAAATAGATAACATCAATCATCCACATTTATACAGTTTAACCATTTAAGATTAAGGTTAAAAGATTGTTTATTTGCCCCACATGTATTTCTGTTGATAAGATAAGATATACTTTATTGATCTCAAACTGGAGAAATAATCAAATTAATAAAAGTTCTGTCCTTACCTTAAATGTCTTGCGATTGAAATCAAAACGACCTTCTCAACCGCACTGTATAAAATTGCGTGTCCGGTGCAATCCAACACTAGCACCCGTTCATTTCCCTACTTGATCCTCCCCTTGTTTTGTTTCCTCTCAAACCGAGCCACTGCTGCAGTAACCTGGACTCCAAAAGTATACGTTGTGTTATTTATTTAATGTATGCAAACTCGTCACGCTCCGTTAGGTTTGATGGTTTTCCCTTTTCATATGAGAGCAGCGCGAGGCCGAAGCAAAGCATCAATCACAGACCGAGCTCTTTGTCAGCCGCCGAGATCTTTACGATAGCAACAGAATAAAATAAATCACTTATTGTCGGTTCATTTTAATAACCCAACCGTTCATTTCAATATTAAACATTAGTCCTGATGTGTTGTGTGCTTTGGCTCCCGTCCATCCCAGTATTACTCACATGAAATTGTTTGTGGTTGTAGTCATTCTAAACTCTCAGGTTTCTCCCTTTGTTTTATCTCACTGTGTTTTTGAGTGGATCCTCGCTGATGCAGGAGATAATCCGAGACATCTGACACTTGTCAAATAGAAAACAAGGCGAAAGGTACAGGGCTATTTCAGGTGAAAAACGTTTGTGTGATTATCCTGTGTGCTATAATGATTGTGGCGCGATTATTATTAGTCCTTAGAAATACCCTATAAATCTTCTTTAGAGCTATTTTGATGACATTTTTTGGCAATGTTCTTCTACTTTTATGTGTAGCACAAGGGTTTAAATGAATTACTTTTAAGTATGTAGCATTGCATATATCTCATTGTGTAGGAGCCGTATTGAATAATCTTTCATATCTTTGCTTTTAGTGCACTGTGGTTGTGTCTCAGAGTTCAGACAGTTCCATCAAACAGAACTAGAGTCAGGCTGATGCAGGTCTCAGGTCTCTGCTTCCTGTGGCTCAGAGAACAGACTTTAAACAAGTCTCTCCGTGGCCTCGCACCAAAGTCTGTGTCATGTTTGTATCATATGAACCAACTCTGCGGAGCACAGAGACTGGCCTCCTGCTGGTCCCAGAGTCAGGACTAAACAGGAGGAGGCAGCGTTTCAGATTCTTGCTGCTAAAATCTGGAACAGTCTTCCTATAAATGTGAGACAGGCTTCTTCTCTGACAGTGTTCAAATCAAGGATAACATTTGTTTTGTTTTGCAGCAACAACTGGGGGATTTTTTCTTAACTCTTTTAAAATGTACTGTGATTATTTATCATTTAAATTTCTTGTAAGATTGTTTCTATCTCATTTGGCACTTTAGTTGCCTTATGAACTGTGCTATACAAATAAATGTGCCTTGACTAATAGGAAGTGGCTGAAATAAAGCAGACACACTCCCCATTGACTAAACAGTGTCTTGATATGAAAGTAACTTGTGAAAAATTGTTCTTTCTTGTGTTCCGTGTAGGCTCTGACGGTGGCTGGTCTGGGCTCTGGTCTGACTGAGGCTGTGGTCGTCAACCCGTTTGAAGTGGTCAAAGTCAGTCTCCAGGCCAACAGGGACTCCTTCAAAGAGGTCAAAGCTTTTCAAATATGTATAAATCGTATGTCACCAACAAGTGGCTTGATACACTGCAAAAAAATGATATAATATGAATCAAGTGGGGGTTTTTATTTCTCTAAAAGTAGCTTATATGTAAGATTTTCATGTCAAGTCATCATTAAATGGCCCTAATCTGTCAAAACGCATTCATAAACCATGCACTTTTCCATTACTTTTTTTAACTGATAACAGTAGTTCAGACAAAATATTTGGTTTTCAGAATTAGTTTTACAGCCTCAAAATCTTGTTATTGTTTCGATGTCAGAAAGATGTCAGAAAGTCTGTGATCCGGGTTGCCAGAATTCACTTTGTTTAGCCAAATTGAAGCCATTATTTACTTATTATTCATCACTTTTTTGTAGTGCATGGGGACGCAAACACGCACAGGAGTGAGAAAACCAGAAATAAATTGTAATAAAATAGACAATATGGCACAGACACAGGGCTGTTTTTTATATTGATTTCATGTTTTAAACCATGAAATGCCACAGCCACAACCTGCCCTGTGAGGACTGCTTTAACGCCTTTGTCGAAACTCATTATCTGTATTCTTTCTCCTGCAGCAACCCTCGTCCTTCGCTCAGGCGAGGAGGATCATGAACGCTGGTGGGTTTGGTCTGAACGGACTGAACAGAGGCCTGACCTCCACTCTGGGCCGACACGGCATCTTCAACATGATCTACTTTGGCTTCTACTTCAACGTCAAAGATGCCTTCCCCGCCAGCCAAGTAAGCACCAGCCGCCTGAGTCCTATCGCTCTCTGCTGCAGTTTATACTCAGATTCAGACTTTCAGAGTTTTTGCAGTAAAACCACATTGGAATACACGTGCGAAAGATTAGGATTAGGATGAAGAGATCCGTAATTCGACCCACCTTGGGGAAATTTAAAGCAAGTATAAAATCTCTAACTATAGCATAATAAAGAAGCAAGTATAAAGTATTCTAGTGTAGTATTATAGAGTTGTATGTAAACATCTGTTAGCAGCATGAGGGTCTGGGACACAGAGACAGTGACAGATGTGGTTCTGCACATTCTGTCCCCAGTGTGCTCCACAACTATATAAAATAAAACAAGCTAAAAAAGTTCAGAACCAATCATCAATGTGAAACCAATCAACAAAAGCAGTTCAACAAGATCATTAAAGGGTTTTGTTCGGACTGATTACAGCTGAAGTTGTTAGCATGTTAGCATATCCAGATGTCCTGCAGCCAATATCTTCTTCCAGAGGGAAGAAGCTGGAACATGGCTTTTCCAGGGGCCAGAAGAGCCATTGATGATTCTGAATGCTTGGTTTAAGCCTCTCTTGAATCTGTTTTGTATATGGCCAAATCCGTACTTTTATCTAGATGTTTTTCAGATCTCAGAATGGTACAGCCCTCGTCTACAACCTTCAGTCTCAAATCTAAATGCTAATCAGTCTAAACCAGTCCTCTCCTGCTGCGGATGATCTTTCTGTTGAGTTCATGAATATGTATGAATGCAGTGATTGCTCGAGTCCGTGATTGATGCCGGCCAAAGTCACAGAGCGTCTTGGTTCATTTTGTGGGTTGAGGTACTGTTTCAAGTATTTTTTATTTTGTAGATCCAATATTTAGCCCTTTAGATCTAGGACTGAGGCTGTAGATCCAGGACTGAGGCTGTTCCTTGCAAACAGGCTTTTAAAGTTACATATTTGTTTTGACCCTTTTAATTTGACACAGTCTTGTCTTCCGTGTGGTGGCAAGCTGACACGGGTCCAAGCAACATGCCAAACTTTCCAGGTCAACATCGCATTTCAGCACTAGTCAAAAAGACTTTATATTGTTGTAATTGTCGCTTTTTAATTCAATTCATTTTATTTTTGCAAAGCCCTAAATCACAACAGTCTCAATCTCGCAGAATTTGAAGGAGGACTAGAGGAGTTGTCGATTCGCCAACACAGATCAGAGAATCCAACAGTTCCAACTCAGGAAATGCATGAGACATTGGTCCATAAGGGGCAGGGACCAAAATGTGGAGTGTCCTGGATCATCACTGTAACAACACAACTTTTCAAAGCCTTCAAGAGCGTAGACTACACACACGCTTAGCTTCATTTGGACTCCTTTCCTTTCCTTAATCTCCTCCTCTCCCCGCCGCCGCCTCTGACAGGTGATTAGTCGCTGCCTTGACGTGATTAGTTGCCTGCAGGACGAGGAAGCAGCAAATCAGCGCTCGCTCTGTGGAGATGGGCCAGGCCTAATACCACTCTCTCCATAACATCCTCAGAGTCTCGCGTTTCACATCCGTCCCAAACAAACCTTCTGTCTCATGGAAGCGGTACCATACGGGGCCCGGTCCACGTGTGCGAGCATCAGATTAACTCAGTAAGTAATGGGAAGCAGACGGGAATACAGTCAGAGAGAAGGACCTTAGTCTGGGCCTGGGTCTTGGTCTGGTTCTTTGCCTGGTTCATGGTCTGGGTCTTGGCCTGGGTTTTGGCTTGGATCTTGGCCTGGGTCTTGGCCTGGGTCTTGCCTGGGTCTTGCCTGGGTCTTGGCCTGGGTCTTGGTCTGGACCTTGGCCTGGTTCTTGGCTTGTGTCTTGGCCTGGTTCTTGGCCTGGGTCTTGGCGGGAATGAAAGACCTGCGGAACATCTCCTTCACGCAGCAAGGGTGGATCAGTCTGTCACTGAAGCTACTCTCCAGAGTGTCCCGCAGTCATGGTCCAATATATCGGTGATTAAAATGATTGATTGATTTTAATGAATTCATTGCAAAACCTCTAAATAATTAGATTGTTTTCTACTAATAATAAATTAACAATGTGATCATACTTCTATCACTTCCTTTTCCTCTCCTCCGTCTGTTCTGATCTGACGATGCTCGGCTTCCATTGCTTTCGCTCTTTTTCCCGTTGGAAGAATCCATATTTCCAGCGACGCAGCAGAAACGGCCCTCTCCTGGTGATAATTACACGGCTGCAAGCCTCGAATAGCCTCCTGTGACAGAGTGAGGTTTGTCTGGTCGTGTTCGTCAAAAGAACTGTCCTATTTATGAACCTCCCAAAGAATCGGCAGACCACATATTGTGAAGGATTAGGGAATGGAGTCGCTTTTTAATTTAGAGTCAAGAAAGACGCAGTTACAGTAAGTGCCTGGATTGTGTGGTGACATAAGAACATGCTCAGTTGTAGAATATGTGATGGTTTATGTTTTCATAAAAATAGAATTACATAATGATGTAGTAATTGTTGCTAACAGATGCTAGCCCCAAACCAGTTGGATTTAAAAGAGAGGACATTTAATGACACTTAACAAGTTACATACTGTATATACATAAACACAAGAACAATCATACCCAAGGAAGGTACATGATGATGATAGGTCAAATATCAAGACAGAGAGATCTCAAGAAGGGATTCTAGCTCATATATACCTAGGATGACATCACATTTAAGGTCACCCACGATTGGTCAGAGGGGTAGGCCATTGGTGGCCCAAGGAGGGGGAGGACATTAGATGACAGGAAAGAAAGGCTCATAGTTTACAAATGAAAGAGATGCTTTCAGTTAAGGCTCCCCGGTCAGACCACTTCTACAGCACGACTTTATTGTATTTTATTGGATATTGTATGTCCAGGTTTCTATTTAAAGACATTTTGGTGCATTGAGTTTGAGATGGAATAAACTAAAAATAAAACAAGCTGCATCGACAGCAGTGCTTCAGCTGCTCGACACTTTTATTCAGTTTTTTTTTTTGGTGAAGTTAAGTTTTCTGGCTTCGGTTGTGAGCTTTGCGTAATCATCAAAAAGGACGAGATCACAGGTACAAGTGGCAAAATGATCTTCCTCCACAGAGGAGCTCAGTCAAACGGGAGATAGACAGAGAGGAAGCCTGTCTCACTTTTTTAGGAAGACTGTTTCAGATTGTAGCTGCGTACCCGTGTTAAGTCCTGACTCTGGAACCAGGAGGAGGCCAGTCACTGTGCTCCTCAGAGTCCCAGCAGGAGGCCAGTCCCTGTGCTCCTCAGAGTCCTAGTTGGTTCAAGTGGCACTAACATGTCTCAAATGTAAGGGCTAACATTTAAATGTATTTTAGATCATTCAATTTTAGAATTCATGTTAAAGCTCCTACTTTAATTGGTCACAATATACAAAGTCAATACATTGGGTAATATATTTTAATGTTTAAATCGGGGGAGTGGGATAATACAGAGGATCACGTTCAAGTTTTTATGTATTATTATTTTATTTTCGTGTTAAAGTTTTCAGTTAAAGTGCAGACTAGAAAGGATATTATAAATCACATCTGATGTACACACACACCCATATGTTTACAGCACACCCATGCAAACAAATACGATTATAGGATTAACGTTACATCAACTTATGAAAATGATAATCGCTATGGTAACTATAGCTAAATGACTAGTAGTAAATAATCTTATCACAAAAGTCTATATACACAAAAACAGTCATTCATCCATATCTCCTTCCATCTCTCTCACTGCTTCTTGGATCTGTCACCTTTAAACAAATTCTACCACTTACTCAGAAGAATGTGTCTAACGGTGTTTTTCACAGACTCCACCCGAACGCACCACAGCCCCTGCCTACACAAACACTACATCTACATCTGAACGTGGCAACAATTGCTGCTGTCGAAATCAATCATGACTTATGTTACCGCAGCGACTCCTGCACATTCATCATAACTGAGCACAACTGGTTTTTCTCCTTGTCCAAAGAACTGCTCTCGTCTTCTTTTGAGAGATTGGTTAAGGTTCAAAATGTGACTTTCTGATTGGGAGATGGAGAGCAAGGCCACGGCTAAGGCTTTTGTGAGGGAGGTTTTTCTATTTTCTATTTAATAAGTCAAATAAGTAAGTCATTTCTATTCATTTAACACATTTTACAGACCACGCTTTAGAGCTCAGATATTGTTCCGTGGGGGTAACCGGAGCGCCTGAAGGAAAACTGCGCACACACAGGGAGAACATACAAAGTCCACAAAGAAGGGTCTTGATGTGGAAACAAACTCAGGACCTTCTTACCGTGACACACAAGCTCTAACCACTGCACCACCCATTTTCTCTGCTCTGGATCAGAGTGAAATTCTGAATGCTTTATTAGCATTTTATTTGTATTGTTATAATCATTCCTCCGGTGGATTTCTGCTTGATCTGTTTGGTTGGGACCATCGTCTCTGCTCTGGTCTGGATCAGTGTAAAACCATGAACGCTGTACTGCAGTAACATTTACAGATAGAAACAAAGCAAGAAAAAGAGAGATTGAAAAATAAAAATAAATGTAAATGTGCACTTTATTGTCCCTGTTGGGAATTTCAGCATTTGACCTATCCTGATGCCACTAAGGCCCATGTCAGGAGCAGTGGTTTCCGTAGTAACAGCACCCGGGAACCCATCGCCAGATATCAATGCTCGGCTTGGTCAGGACAAACTGAGCTGGAGGATTTAACCTATTGAGCGTATTTTTAGTGGTAGGGGAAATCGGAGCATCTGAAGTAAAAACACAAAAACTAACTATGCATCCATCTTCCTCTCCCTAGGGTTAAGTGTCTTGCCCAAGGGCACAAAGGCAGCAGACATCAATGGTAGTCCGTGGAGAAGGTTTCGTGGTGGCCTTATACCCACAACTTTGAAGCTCAAAGGCCAATGCTCTGAGCTACTGTCGCCCCTAAAAAAACTAACCAGTGACAAGAATTTGATTACAAAGTTGACATTTCTCCTGCTTTAATAGTCAGGTCGCCCAGCTTTAAACCCTCCTCTCGGGGTAGTGCTGTATCTGCCTGAGGCCTGGTGTTCCGCTCTGGGCTGGAAGGAACAGTTTTCCTCTGGGTTCATGTCTCCACTTAGCTCCCACTTCCCACTCTCTCTGGGATTAGCCGTTGACGTCGCCCTGGTCTCTCTCTCTCTCTCTCTTCTCTCTCTCTCCGTCCGCTCTGACAAAACCCTGGACCGAAGAGGCTGCTGTCATTTGTAAAAAAATATCCTTGGCCAATTAGCCGCCGAAGCTCTCCCAGTCTGCTCCTCCGCTACAGTAATACTCCGACAACGCAGCAATTACGCAAATGATCCCCATATGTCCGAGGTTTGGAAAGGCCTCCGACATGTGCTTGTGCTCAGCCAATCAGAGCACAGCGTCACACTCAGGAAGTACTAATCTGCCCCCCGCTACCATAAAATGACCGAGCTTTCATGCCGGCTTTGCAATCATTGGCTCAGGCTTCTCCGGCCTGAGCCTAGTCGTACAGAACTTATGTGTTTTTATTCATTTGACTAAGACGATTTTACTACAAATATACTGTATTTTCAAATTGCGTCTTTGTGATGCTAAAGCTAGAGATTTTATACTTGCCTTTTTATTATGCTAAAGTTGCACTGCAAATAAATGACACCAAATAAGGTAATGACTGCTTTCAAGTGTTTTTATATGAATTTGAGCAGATTTTGAGAGTCTAAAAAAACAGATTTTCCAATTGGACAAACACATATGTCTTAACGTAAAAAGATATAAGAAATGTCTCGTTTGGAAAGAAAAATAATTTGCAAAAGCAGTTGAAATGAGAGGAAATGGTTTTGTCCCATTGCAAATCTTGTTTTAACAAGGTCTAATACTTTATACCTTATGCTTCTTTATTATGCTAACGTTAGAGATGTTATTTTAGTATAGACTTGTTTATTTCTTCTTGTGTTGTGTGATTCCTATTCCCACTGCTGTTTAACTGGTGATGCAACACTGACATTTCACGGTGGGACCAATAAAGGATGTCTTTTATAATCTTACATTGAAAGCCACATCACAGTACAATGTATAAGAGTACATTTTTATGTTATCATTTTTTTTGTTTCCAGGACCCGACCCTGGAGTTCATGAGGAAGTTTGCGATCGGCCTGGTGTCTGGGACCATCTCCTCCTGTGTGAACATCCCCTGGGACGTGGCCAAGAGCCGCATCCAGGGGCCACAGCCGGTCCCTGGGGAGATCAAGTACAAGACCTGCATCCAGACCATGAAGCTGGTCTACAAGGAAGAGGGGTGAGGCTCTACTCTACTCTACTCTACTCTACTCTACTCTACTCTACTCTACCCTGCCCTGCCCTGCCCTGCCCTACTCTACTTTACTCTACTCTACTCTACTCTACTCTACTCTACTCTACTCTACTCTACTCTACTCTACTCTACCCTACCCTACCCTACTCTACTCTACTCTACTCTACTCTACTCTACTCTACTCTAGTCTACTCTACCCTGCCCTGCCCTGCCCTGCCCTACCCTACTCTACTCTACTCTACTCTACTCTACTCTACTCTACTCTACCCTACCCTACCCTACCCTACCCTACCCTACCCTACCCTACCCTACCCTACTCTACTCTACTCTACTCTACTCTACCCTACCCTACCCTACCCTACCCTACTCTACTCTACTCTACTCTACTCTACTCTACTCTACTCTACTCTACTCTACTCTACTCTACTCCACTGCACCCTACTCCACTCCACCCTACTCTACTCTACCCTACTCTTCCTCTACTCTTCCTCTACCCTACTCTTCCTCTACTCTACTCTTCCTCTACTCTACTCTACTCTACTCTACCTCTACTCTCTACTCTACCCTACTATTCCTCTACTCTACTCTTCCTCTACTCTACCCTACTATTCCTCTACTCTACTCTTCCTCTACTCTCTACTCTACCCTACTCTTCCTCTACTCTACTCTACTCTACTCTTACTCTTCCTCTACTCTACTCTACTCTACCCTTAACTATTCCTCTACCCTACTCTTCCTCTACTCTACTCTTCCTCTACTCTACTCTACTCTACTCTCCTCTACTCTACCCTACTATTCCTCTACTCTACTCTACCTCTACTCTACCCTACTCTTCCTCTACTCTACTCTTCCTCTACTCTCTACTCTACTCTACTCTTCCTCTACTCTACCCTACTATACTCTACTCTTCCTCTACTCTCTACTCTACCCTACTATTCCTCTACTCTACTCTTCCTCTACTCTACCCTACTATTCCTCTACTCTACTCTTCCTCTACTCTCTACTCTACTCTCCCTCTACTCTCTACTCTACCCTACTATTCCTCTACTCTACTCTACTCTACTCTACTCTTCCTCTACTCTACCCTACTATTCCTCTACTCTACTCTTCCTCTACTCTACTCTACCCTACTATTCCTCTACTCTACTCTACCTCTACCTCTACCCTACTCTTCCTCTACTCTACTCTACTCTACTCTTCCTCTACTCTACTCTACTCTACCCTACTCTTCCTCTACTCTACTCTACTCTTCCCCTACTCTACTCTACTCTACTCTACCCTCTACTACTCTACTCTACTCTTCCTCTACTCTACCCTACTATCTCTACTCTACTCTTCCTCTACTCTGTACTCTACCTACTATTCCTCTACTCTACTCTTCCTCTACTCTCTACTCTACCCTACTATTCCTCTACTCTACTCTTCCTCTACTCTACCCTACTATTCCTCTATTCTACTCTTCCTCTACTCTACTCTTCCTCTACTCTACTCTACTCTACTATTCTCTACTCTACTCTTCTCTACTCTACTCTACCTCTACTCTACTCTACTCTACTCTACTCTACTCTACTCTACTCTTCTCTACTCTACCCTACTATCTACTCTACTCTACTCTACTCTACTCTCTACTCTACTCCTACTCTACTCTACTCTACTCTACTCTACTCTCTACTCTACTACTATTCCTCTACTCTACTCTTCCTCTACTCTACCCTACTCTCCTCTACTCTACTCTTCTCTACTCTCTACTCTTCCTCTACTCTCTACTCTACCCTACTATACCTCTACTCTACTCTACCCCTACCTCTACCCTACTCTACTCTACTCTACTCTTCCTCTACTCTACTCTACTCAACCCTACACTTCCTCTACCCTACTCTACTCTACTCTACTCTACTCTACTCTACTCTTCCTCTACTCTACTCTACCCTACTCTACTCTACTCTACCCTACTCTACTCTACTCTACTCTACTCTACTCTACCTCTACTCTACTCTACTCTACTCTACTCTACCCTACTCTACTCTACTCTACTCTACTCTACTCTACTCTACTCTACTCTACCCTTCCTCTACTCTACTCTACCCTACTCTTCCTCTACACTACTCTACCCTACTCTTCCTCTACTCTACTCTACTCTACCCTACTCTTCCTCTACTCTTCCTCTACCCTACTCTCCTCTACTCTACTATTCCTCTACTCTACTCTTCCTCTACTCTCTACTCTCTCTCTACTATTCCTCTACTCTACTCTTCCTCTACTCTACCCTACTATTCCTCTACTCTACTCTTCCTCTACTCTCTACTCTACCCTACTATTCCTCTACTCTCTACTCTACTCTACTCAACCCTACACTTCCTCTACTCTCTACTCTACTCTACTCAACCCTACTCTTCCTCTACTCTACTCTTCCTCTACACTACTCTACCTTACTCTTCCTCTACTCTACTCTACCCTACTCTTCCTCTACTCTTCCTCTACCCTACTCTTCCTCTACTCTACTCTTCCCCTACTCTACTCTACTCTACTCTACCCTACTATTCCTCTACTCTACTCTTCCTCTACTCTACCCTACTATTCCTCTACTCTACTCTTCCTCTACTCTCTACTCTACCCTACTATTCCTCTACTCTACTCTACTCTTCCTCTACGCTCTACTCTACCCTACTATTCCTCTACTCTACTCTACCCTACTATTCCTCTACTCTACTCTTCCTCTACTCTACCCTACTATTCCTCTACTCTACTCTTCCTCTACTCTACCCTACTATTCCTCTACTCTACTCTTCCTCTACTCTACTCTTCCTCTACTCTCTACTCTACCCTACTATTCCTCTACTCTACTCTTCCTCTAATCTACTCTTCCTCTACTCTCTACTCTACCCTACTATTCCTCTACTCTACTCTTACTCTACTCTACTCTTCCTCTAGTCTATCCTACTATTCCTCTACTCTACTCTTCCTCTACTCTCTACTCTACCCTACTATTCCTCTACTCTACTCTTCCTCTACTCTCTACTCTACCCTACTATTCCTCTACTCTACACTTCCTCTACTCTACCCTACTATTCCTCTACTCTACTCTTCCTCTACTCTCTACTCTTCCTCTACTCTCTACTCTACCCTACTATTCCTCTACTCTACTCTACCTCTACCTCTACCCTACTCTTCCTCTACTCTACTCTTCCTCTACTCTACTCTACTCAACCCTACTCTTCCTCTACCCTAATCTTCCTCTACTCTACTCTTCCTCTATTCTACTCTTCCTCTACACTACTCTACCCTACTCTTCTTCTACTCTACCCTACTCTTCCTCCACTCTTCCTCTACCCTACTCTTCCTCTACTCTACTCTACCCTACTCTTCCTCTACTCTACTCTACTCTTCCTCTACTCTACTCTATCCTACTCTTCCTCTACTCTACTCTACCCTACTCTTCCTCTACACTACTCTACCCTACTCTTCCTCTACTCTACTCTACTCTACCCTACTCTTCCTCTACTCTTCCTCTACCCTACTCTTCCTCTACTCTACTCTTCCTCTACTCTACTCTTCCTCTACTCTACTCAACTCTTCCTCTACTCTACTCTACTCTACCCTACTCTTCTCTACTCTACTCTACTCTATTCCACTCTACTCTACTCTACCCTACTCTTCCTCTACTCTTCTCTACTCTACTCTATTCCACTCTACTCTACCCTACTCTTCCTCTACCCTACTCTTCTCTACTCTACTCTACTCTACCCTACTCTTCCTCTACTCTACTCTACCTCTACTCTACTCTATATGACCCTACTCTTCCTTTTCTCTACTCTATATTACCCTACTCTGGTGTTTCCACTGGTCCTATTTAACCAGTTCTTTTTTAGTCCCTCTTGGTCCTGGTCCTAGGCCGAGCTGGTACTAAAGTGTTGTAACTGACAGTAGAAGACATTCCTATGGATACTGGTTTGTTGTGGGTAGGTTGCTAGGATACTGTACCAGATACTTAAGTGTGATGGAAACAGTCGAGTAGAGTCGGGCCAGATGGGGCTGGTGCAAAATAACATATTGGTTATTAGTTGAATTACAGAAATAATTAAACTTTCAAAGGATGCTGTAATTTTCTGAGGCTCAGACAACACACCAACATTCCACACACACACACGCACACTAATACGGCATCATTACACACACACGCACACACAAAACAATGAGCTTCCAATGAACTGCGCACACAAACAGGGGTGTGTTTCCCCGTGTCCTGCTCCCCGCGTGTGACCCGCTCATACAGCCACAGCGTATAAATCAGCCGCACACTCACCTTTGTGCGACGGCCTGTATCTCGGTAAGTGTACTTGCCCATAAAGCATTCACATGAACCGCACACAGATACATCACTTTATATGACAAGCCTCCGTGCATAACCTTCACTTCCTCTCTCATGTGCACACACTCCGAGCTGCCTTCCTAATTATCTGATGGCTCCAACACTAAATATTACCGCTTCTTGTCATATATTGTGTTGTTTATTATCCTTGTAAAATGACAAAGAAACACACACAGTGGTTCCTATGCTCACGACAAAACACAGACATTTTGGCTCCTTTCCCCAATATTTCTGTTTATTCAACTCAATTCCATGTATTTTTTGTGTAGCCCTATATCACAACAGTAGTTTTCTCGAAGGACTATACAAAAATGTCGAGTTCCAACCCAGATCAGAGAATCAAAGTGTTCAAACACAAGAAATGCAATGATAAAAACACATAAAGCCATTGGTCCATAAAGGGACATAGACCAATCTCTATAAATGTTTTTAAATTGTTGTTAAATGTCGATTGTTTTGGATCATCGCCTCCTGCATCGGCACGGGAAAACTATCCTCTCCCTGCTTGCCTTGGTCAAACGGCCCATGTATAAGTTATTCAGCACGTCAAATACATAAGGCAACTCGGTAACAAGAAACAACCACACACAGCTTAAAAATCAAAACTAATCACGGTGCAT